GCCAAATCTTTGATGCCAAAGCCATGAGTCGTCGACTTCTGCTTTCATGGCAAAGTTAAGGCCTTGTCTCAGGCTTATAGGGAAACTTCTATTCCTCTTCTCCATTTTTACTCGGCCAATTTCTAGTTTTTTATTGTCATATATTTTACATGAGTCTCCTTCGAAATGGAGAGTATAACCTTTCTCCATCATTTGGCCAATGCTCAAGAGATTTTCTTTAAGATTTGGAACTAGTATAACATCAGTAATAAGTCTCATACCTTTCTTTGTCTCCACCATAACTGTGCCTTTGCCTTTTGATTCAACGACAGTGTCGTTCCCCATTCGAACTTTCACCTTGACGGATTCATCAATATCCTTGAAGATGCTTGCATCTTTGGCCATGTGATTGCTACAACCGCTATCCAAGTACCAATTTCCACTTGTTTCACTATTGGAATCTTGGGTAGCATAGAAAAGATGTTGCTCACCATTTTTCTCTTCAGCAAAGTTTGCTTGATGCTTATTTTTATTGCGGCAATACTTCTTCACATGTCTAACTTTGTTACAGTGGCGGCATTGTGGCTTTCCATGATATCGACAGTCTTTCTCGGCAAGATTTGTCCTTTTGCAAATGTCGCATGGAGGATATTCATTCTGATAATTTCTAGAGAAATTTCTAGAATTATCTTTATTTCTAGAAGTTTATCTATTATTCCTTTTATCTTTATTTTAAGACCGTAATTTGAGCTTTGATTGAAAGGCATTTTCAATTGAGTCTTCATCATGCCTATTCAACCTTTGCTCGTAAGCTTCAAGTGACCCCATCAACTCTGTTACTGATAAGGTAGATAGATCTTTTATTTGCTCAATTGTTGTCATGATTGGATCATATTTACGGGGAACACTAATTATAATTTTCTCCACAATTTTCTTGTCAAGAATATTTTCCCCGTACGCTCTCATTTGGTTAACTATTTCTTTTATCTTAGAATAGTAGTCTTTTACAGTCTCAGATTCCTTCATATTTAACAATTCAAAGTTACGCCGTAGATTTTGTAATTTTATGGCACGTACCTTTTCACTTCCTTCGAATCCTCCTGCAGCGTAGTCCATGCCTCCTGCAGCGTAGTCCATGCTTCTTTGGCTGTTGTTGCACCCATTATTCTCGGAAAAATTGTGTCAGTCACAGCTTGTTGCAAAATGAATAATGCCTTTGAATTCTTTTGTTTGTTCTCTTTTAACTCCTTTTTTTTTAGCCGCAGTAAGAGATGATGTGTCTTCTGGAGTAGAAAATCCTTCTTCTATCGTGTCCCATAAATCTTGGAAGGTGAAATATGTCTTCATTTTTGTACTCCAAAAATCATAATTTTCACCATTAAAAATGGGAATAGGGATAGATGATGGTTGAATGGTGTTAGCCATGGATTAGAATTTGTTTTTTTGAAAGTGAGTAGAATATTGGGATTTTTTTTTTGGAAGTAGTGGGGTAATATTTCTACGCCCAGTAGATGACCGAACGTAGCTCTGGTACCACTGTTAGTTTATGAATTATCAAATAGTAAATACTTATTTTATTGGTAGAAGGAATGAGGAAGCAAATTTATAATGATAAGCTTAGTTGAGAGAAAAACTAGTTTAGAGGAATAGTTGGAATAGATTTGAGTAGTGGAAATGACTTACTAGTTGCTTGATACAAATGTTGAGTACATGGCCTATTTATAGGCCTCAACACACCATTCATGTTTTATGTAGAAAACTCTAGAAATATCTATTCTCTAGTTTTCTATCTATATGTAATTATCTACATAATTCTAGAGTTTGTATGATCTAGTAGTTACTAGCATACATCTATGTATTTTCTATAACGATCTAACTTATTCTAGAAGTTTGTATCACATTTTAACAATACTACATAATGGGCTTGGCTTCACCCTTGACTATGTTATCCACGTGTTGATGGATAAGTGTTTGATAGAACTTGTTCAGTGTTGTGTAAGAAAGCATAATCTTATTGAGAATATGGGTAAAGAAATTGTGAGGCAGGAATCACCTTCAAAGCTTGGTGAATGCAATAGATTATGGTTCTCTAAAGATATTCCTTGTGTTTTCAGACACAATAAGGTATGTGCATTGTGCATAGCTAATTTGTCCCTTTGATTCTCCATTTTTTTCCTTTTTAGACAAATGCAAAGTGTAAGATCTTATTGTTAACATTGTAGATTGTACATTAATATTTTACGTTGACAAAATTCATCCGTGCTTACTACCTCCGATCCTAATTAAATTAAAGTAACGTGTGACAAATCATCAAGATAAAAAGGAAATAATTAATATGATTACTTTTAAATAATTCTACCATAAATTTAAGTTTAATTCAAATATATCTTTTATATTAAATGATTGTTATATTTATTGTTGATTATAAGTAAATACATATATAAGAAATAAAATTAACAATAGATATAGGGTATAAAAGAAATTTAACCCATAATAACTTTAAAAACTAACGATTAATTAAGATCGAAGTTAATATATTTTATAATTTGCGAGCTTTATCCTAATTTAATTCTTTTGTCTTTAAGGGATCCAATAAAACGGAGATCATCATGCTAAACTAGCCCAAAGGCAAAAAATGTGCATTGGGATAGAAACACATTGAAGAAAATGGAAAACCTTAAAATATTAGTGGTAGAAAATGCTTACTTTTCTAGAGGATCTGACACTCTCCCCAAAAGTTTAAGAGTGTTAAAATGGTGTGGATATCTTGAATCATTACTGCTTGCAGAATGTGATCCAAAGAAACTTGCCATATTGGACTTGTCTATGAGTTTGTTTACATTCAAGAATCAACTGATCAGGCTATTATAGTAGCTAATTATGTTGATGTGTATACTAAATAAGTCCATTTGAAATATCATAAATTAGTAACTCAGTTATTATGCATTTTGCAGAAATTTAAGTCTTTGACAAAAATGAAGTCGAGTCGTTCAAATTATTAAAACAAATTAAGTCTTTACAATTTTTAGTTAAATATAAAGGGGAAAAATGATATTTTTTAGGGATCACATTTTTTCTCTAAATATTTAACACAACTATATATCTATAAATCAAACCCGAGAGAATTGATTAAGTTGAAATAAATTCCTTACTAGTTAGGATTACATACATGTATACACATACGCACGCACACACGCGCTCAGACACACACACGCACGCACACGCGCGCACGCACGCACGTGCGCATACACACACGTACGCACGCATGCACGCACGCACACACACATACACGCACATACACACGCATGTACACACGCGCACAGACACACACACGCACGCACACACACACACCCACACACACACGCGTACGCACGCACACATACGCACGCACACACACGCACGCACGCATGCACGTACGCACGCATGCACGCACGCACACACACACACCCACACCCACACACGCACACACCCACACGCACGCACAGGCACACGCACACACACCCCCAGCCACACACACATGCACACACGCACGCACACACACACGCACCGAATGACGAACGTAACGGATGTCAGTTCAATCTGAAGGGAATTATGCGGAAGCTTTACAGAATTATTATGAGGCTATGCGACTGGAAATTGATCCCTATCGAAGTTATATACTTTATAACATAGGCCTTATCCACACAAGTAACGGGAAACATACAAAAGCACGCACGCGCACACACGTGCAGATTTTTATTTCTTAAAAAGAGTTATTGATAGATGTGCAAAAACATTTTCATGCTTCTTTTATCTCCTCTTTTGCTTCATATTTCTTTTAGTTATGTTAAATTGTAATTTTTTTTCAAAAGAAATTTACTATGCAAAGAAAAACTTCAATTTTATTAACTTGTAATTTATACAAAACAATGTTAACTATTACAAAGACATTACAAATTATAAAAGTATTCAATATCTTTATTTATATTTAAATTTATTTATTCATTAATGAAGAATATAAGATGTTAAAAGATAAGTTTTTAAAATATTAATACTAATTAGACAACTAATATTAGTTTAGAATACATGAGAATATAATTTACACATACATTATGAGTTTCTAATTTAAAATTTTACATATATTACTTCAATTTTCTATCACTAACATAATTAAAAGAAATTATATTTAAAATTAATACATTAATTAAATAATAAAATGATATTTTTTAATTTAAATAATTTACTTTTTTTATTTGCTGATCGCGTGGGTACATATCTAATTTAGAATTACTCTTGTAACTCTATTTTTTTAGTTTAATAAAGATGTCTAACTCCTTATTTGGTTGACCTTTATAAATATAAAATGATATTTGTAATCTCAACTCAAAGCCTAAGGTAAGATCTTACAGTAACTTGAGCTCTCTCACACATTAATATTAAGATGTTTTTTAATTGATTATCTTGCCAAAGATATGTTAATAGTTAAAATTTTTAATTAATACTCAATTTTTTAATTAACGTGAAACATAGAGCTACACATTTAACAATTAAAATTATTTTTTTACTAGTTTGCAAATTAAAAATATATTATATTAAATTTTTAAAAATTATTTAAAATTTATTTTAATTAATAAATTGAATAAACCCTAAATCCTAAACTTTTTAAATAATTATGAATAATTTATGATAATTTTAGACAATCAGATTGTGTGTCATGATTTTCAAGTCATTGTAGTACTGTCACTTCGCAGATTAGTTTATCCTATCCTGTTTTTTTTTTTTTTTGGACCGACTCAATTTACCACTCTTATAAAGAATCTCCTTTTATTAGGGTTAATTTCTCTCCGCAACATCCATGTTATATACCTTAATTCTTAATCTTATAATCAAATACATAACATCTTAAATTTAAGTGATAGATATAATATTTCAACTGATAAATTCAAAAAGCTTGAATTGATCTCCCCGTCTAAGGAAAAAGAAGAATTATCCGTAAGACAAATCAAACTCAAAAAGCAAGAAATATTTCAAGTTTTTTTTTTATCATAAAACATAATTTGGCTACTATATAGCCATTACATGCAAGAAACAATTACATTAAAACGCTCCTGATAATATTATTATAAGCACTGTTGCATTAAAATGCAACCCACGTTTCAGCAATCCTAGTAACAAGAAAGACAACTCAAGAAATGAAAATACTAGTTCATGACAAATAGACCCAATAAGTTTGAATAAGTCAACTCAAACTCATAGCTCCACTTTCTCAACATCATCATGCCACATCGACTAAAACGGGGTCTACTAGCACCGACTTGATTCTGTTCTTTAATACGCCTTGTTGTGCAAATCCATCTCCATTTTGGTAAGTGCAGTAAGAAATCTTGAGGAAGTTCATGATAAGTTGCATGAAAGATTTGGGGAATGGAGAGTCCATAACTAGGAATTTGTTCAAGTACTTCCATTCTTTGTCGATCAAAATTTTGTAATACTGACGAGCTTCTTCTTCCGAATTACCAGTTTCATTCATGTAACTTAGGATTGAGTTTGAGGTTTCACCCCTCTCCATCTCATCCTATAGAAAACAAGAAACAGACAATATTACTCACGATGACTAAGTTTGATATGCTTGGGTTAGTTAATTGAGATTACCATTGCCGTTCCCAGATCATTGATAAGCCTTAAAAGCTTCATTGCACAGCGCAAGATGTCATGGTAGTCAGTTAAAGCCTGAAGCCCTTCCTCTGTGATGTCTAGGTCCTTGCAAACTAGGAAGTAAGAATGAATAAGAAGAACCCCACCTGAGGCCGATATCCATGCAGTATCAAGGAACTCCTTGAATGGTGGAATGACTTTGTTGTGAAAACACCTTGCTTCATGAATGTATACCTTACACAAATCTATCCACTGCGAAATAATCAAGTCAACATTTTACTTTTACCCATAGAAAATACATAAAAAGAATAATTTGTTATAATGAATTACTTACAGCTTTTTTGAGGTAAGGAAGACAATTTATGCCCCGTTCCTTAAAGATGTCATAAGCCATCACATTAACAGTGTTATAGAGGGTTAGGAAGCTCAATTTCAATTTGTCTGGAAGAGAATTTATGGCATCCACGTCCCATCTGATGCACATGTACATGCATACAAAATTATGTTAACTCGGATCGGACTAAAAAATATATATATATAGAAACATCAATATTTGTAAAGTAAAAACTAAAATAAACTTTCTCTTCAATTTATATCAGTTGAACAAACCTTACTACAGCATCTGTGAAGATCTCCATTTCATCCAGAGTGCCGTATACATCGTACGCATCATCTATGATTATGATTAGCATCGCCTCTTTAGTGATTTCGTTGCGACTACTAGAAAATTGAGACTCATCAGGGATCATTCCCACCGCCCAAAAGTAGCTTTCTACAAGTCTGTCTCTAAAAAAATTCGCTTTGCTTATGATGCCAATGTCCTTAGTCCACCACCTAAATAACAACACATTAATATAAATAAATAAATATATATATATATATATATATATATAAAACTTTGCACATCATTTCTTTAAACAATGTTAAATTATTCTTTTCCTTTTCTGTTTACTCTTACCTTGACGCTTCTTTTAGTTCTTTTTGATATGTTGATTGAACCATGTTGAAATCCAGCTTTGCTAGCTCTAACAATGAGCGATGATGCGGTTCCATTTTAGTGTATGTGTCAAAATACCGTCGTGCCTCTAATCTTGCAAAGCATTGGTGATATGGAAGCCCCTCCAACACATGCCTAACTTGTTCTCCCAGTTCCCCCTCTATTCCCTCTTTCATTAAGTTCATGAGATGTGTTCTTGAAAACTCATTTGCCTTCTCCCAGAGACTTTCTCCTTCAAAGGCCAAGTAAGATGCTTCATAGAGACTCAATAATCCTTGCACATCTTGGCTAATGTCAGCCTTGAAATTCCCCTCTTCATCTTGGAAACTCTTGAACACATCTGCACCTCACATAATCATGCATCTTAATAGAATGAAAGTTCTTAAAGTATGAGTAATAATTGAAGAGGTTACCTACTATGCTCACTTAAAGTATTTGTTAAAAAGAGTAAGATTTTATAATAATAGAAAATATTTTTTATATTCTTCTCAATAAATTATTTTAAAGCTTTTGTAAAAATAATAAACACTTTAACTAATTAAATAGAGGTTGAAATTAGACCCTTGGAGACATCAAAGCCATGTTCTCTAAGAATTCGGAAAAGGAGAGCAATATCATGAACACTTTTCTCTGACGAGTCTTTGAAGTATTCTGTTGAAACAATCATTTGAAGGGCTTTGTTTATATCATCTTCGAACCTGTGGGCCAGCCCCAACCGGTGAACGTCCTCAATGAAATCAACGAAGCTTCGTGGCTCCATGTCCGTGCTATTAATCGAAAGTCGTACCATCTCCTCAAGCTTCATTGCTCTCTCTTGCACTGTTTCAACCTACGTACGTGCATGAATCGTATTAATAATAATATACTCAACAGGAAAACAATCAATTCTTACAAACTCATATTTATCTGCACAGGTTAGGCCTTGCATATGTTTAACAATAAAAGAAAACGAATATGAACGAAAGATAAGAGGAGCGAAGACAAAGTGGGAGAAAGTGAAAATTAAACATTAACTTTATTATACCGAGAGAGGATTTCCCAGAGACTGGAGAATTTCAGGGGTCCAAATGTCGGGCGTGTAATTTGCTGAACGTCTATTTTCTTTTAGGGATAACTGGGAATCCTGTTTGGTCGCAGTACAAATGAGTTTGCCAGATCTATTGAGAAATTTGGCATTGACATGTCTATGGTGCACTTGAACATGTAATCTACGTGGAACTTGTGTGTTCGTCAACCGGAAAGGAAGGCTCAATAGTTCGCTTGCCATCATGTGTGATGCAGATGCAGATGTTTAGCAGTGTGCATGCCTCTCTCTCTTATATAGTCGTATAACCTCTCTCTATTAATATATACAAGAGAACAAAATCCAGAATAAGTACGCACACAGTCTCGTAAAGTATTCTTATTTTACTTACAAGAAGTGGATATCCTCAAAGAATAAAAGAAGCAGAATCCTTAGGGAAGATAACTGAGGGAATATATAGAAACGGAGAAATTAAGAACTGTACATAAAAGTGACCGAAATAATATGTCCTTGTAGTAAAAGTTAGTAATGCATGAGGCATTACTTCTCCAATATATTTATCCAGAAGAGGAACGAAAGATACAAGAATATATATATTCTCAAGAAGAGACGTAGCTGAAAATTCTTCTACGAGTAACCTTATATAAATATATAAGTATATAACAATAGCCAAAGTTTGACTACCTCTCTCATCCTCAAGTGACTTTTGCCACTCATGTCCCCAATAATTCACCAATCATGCCACTAGGGTAGTAGCAGCAAAATGATTTAAAAATCATATGTTAAAATCTATGCAGTGTGTTGTACTCCATCCACCCTATGTTAAAACCTCAATGTTCAAAACTGTACACAATCATACAACTATACACTTTTTATATATATATATATATATA